TAAATACAAGCTACAAAATATACAACAATAATCAATCAATGAATAACCATAAAAGGATACATAAAAACCTGGAATGTAACTGGCTATAAAGTCATCTGATCTCACAATAATGATCGCCCTGTCACTTCGTTGACAGGCTTTTCACTTCTTCAAGCACATCACATAAATAATTTAAAACTTGTTCATCTGGATTTTTTTCATCATCATCACTTTCAAGTATAAAATCATTTTCACAAGGATTATAATTTATAAAAATATTGTCAATATTGTTATGAAAGTCTTTTAAGTTAAAAATATTACAAGCTTGTCTTGACATATGCCAATAATTGGATAGCCACTATTCCATTGTACCTATTATTTATTATATGAATTTAAATAATAATTTATTTATAATAAATAATTGTAATTTGCTTACCTTTTTAAAAAAGTCGCTATCTACTTGACTAACTCTCACAATTAAATGTTGACAAAGAAAAAAATGGCTTGTAAGATATGTATAACATGAACAAGTCCAATTATCTAAATTTGTTTCATATTTATTATTTATGCTAACTTGTTTTTTTTCATGACTTCATCATTTACTTTTAAATTTTTTTCTCCATGATATAGTGTAACGAGCCTGCTGTAATAATCGAACTTTATAAACTCGATAATTAACAACTTTATGAACTAGAATATAAATTAAGTGATCAATACGGGGTCTATAAAACTTATGCAAATAATCATGCTTAACATGCCACCAATGTGACTCAACAATCATTGTTGTCTTAATATGGCTAATCTTATAGTTTGCTGCTTTAGCCCACAAAACCCATTTATTATACGAATACCATTCCATCCATAAATAAAGCCAAAGGTAAAATAAATTATGATTTTGACAGAATTTATGAATTTCAGTCACAGATTCCTCCCATATTGCTTTTGAATTTGCTACAAATTCTCTATTAGGCTTTGGCAATAGCATATGACAGTTATAATGTTGATCAACAGGATTAAGAACATCTTTTTGAATTTCTAAAGGACAAATAACAATAGTCTTATCTAAATTATCTATTTGAAATTCCCATCCTGGATCAATTCCTGAACATTCCTGATTTGCAATAATAGGATTGTAGTTGTAATTTCTAATTTTCTTTTTTGATTCTAATCTTCTTTTTATAGCACATCGCACATGCCATGTGCATAGTTGCAAATGTGTTTCTGGCCATACGACTTTTGCTGCATTAATTTCTGAGAATGCTTTGTCAACAAAAATAAATGAAAAATTAATTAATTGTTGGAATTTTAAAGCCTCCATCTACTTCATATATAGCAGATATATAATACCCGGTATCGGTATGTGCTGTACAGTGTTGGGCAATATGGACATTTGGACTTATTAAAAATAATATGGACAAAGATGGATATAGTAATTTATGGACATGGACATATAGGTTTGGACATAGTCCAAATTTTTTAAAAAATATGGACATATACCAAGTGCCAACACTGGAGCTGTATGATGGTAAAAGGAAATCACGATGTTTCACAACATATATGATGATAATATATTGGATGTAAAATTCGTCTTTCAATCATTTTACGTTACGTGCGAACTTATACATTAAATTCTCAATCCTTTAAAATGAAAAGGTTACCAAACGAATGCCTTTTAGAAATATTTAATAAACTTCAGGATGATTACACAAGCTTATTTTCATGTCTTCTTGTTAACCGTCGATGGTGTAGAATTGTTGTACCAATATTATGGAGCGAGCCAACTCTCATTTTTATGATAAAATACTTCTAAGAACATACCTTTTAATATTAAACTCAGAAGAACAAGCCTCATTGATCCCTTTCAAAATTATTATTCCAAGCTATCAAAAACCGTTATTTGAGTACTCAAGTTATACTGTGTCTGTGTATTTTGGCAAACATTCGACCATAGGAGTTTACAATTGGCTTGTAGAAGAATGTAATATGGATAAATATAATTTATGTTCTATTATAAAAGCCATTAAATGGTCTTTGGTCGCAATGTTTTTACGAACAAGCAAAAGACTTAAATATTTAGATTATAGTTCTGATTATTTTAGGTCTGAGAAAATAAAGCAATTGATGAACAATATTAGTAAAAGCACTTATTTGACCTCTTTGAATCTTTCACGTAATAAACTTGGTTCTGAGGGAGAGGAAGCACTAGCAGAAACTCTTTATAATAACACTACTCTAACTTCTTTAAAACTTAGTGACAATAATATTAGGTTAATAGCATTAGTAAAAGCTCTTTGTAAGAACAATACGTTAATTAATTTAGAAATTAAATATAACTATTTTGGTCTTGATAGTGCAAAAGCGTTAGCAGAATTACTTTGCAAAAACACTACATTAACTTCTTTAGATATTTATAGGAGTCATTTTGGTCCTACAGGTACGAAAATATTATTAGAGGCACTTTCTAAAAATAACACTTTAACTTCTTTAAATATTAGTTGTAATATTTTTAATTTTGAAGGAGTAAAAGTACTAGCAGAGGTTTTTTGCAAAAATTATACTTTAACTTCTTTAGATATTTCAAGTAATCAACTTGGTTTTGAGAATGGAAAAGTAATAGCAGAAGCTCTTTGTATAAACACTACTTTAATTTCTTTATATATTAATGATAATCAACTTTTGTCTGAAGGAATAAAGGCGATAGCAAAAGTTCTTTATAAAAATGGCACTTTAAAAACGTTATCTATCAGTTCTAATTACGCTAGTATTGAAGGAGGAAAAGCTTTAGCAGGCTCTTTGCATAAATACCACTTTAACTTGCTTAAATATTAGCTTTAATAAGATTGACTCCAGAGGAGGGGAAGCATTTGCAAAGGCTCTTTGCATAAATAAAACCCTAACTTCTTTATATATTAGCCATAACATGATTGGGTTTAAGGGAGGAGAAGCATTTGCAAAGGCACTTTGCGTAAATACTACTCTAAAGTCCTTAAGTATTCAGAGAAATCAACTTGGTTTTAAAGGAGCAAAAGCATTAGCAAATGCTCTTTGCAAAAATGTTACTTTAACTTATTTAAATATTGAATCTAATGTTATTGGTTCTGAGGGAGGAAAGGCATTAGCAGAAGCTCTTTGCACAAACACTACTTTAACTTCTTTAGATCTTTCTTATAATAATCTTACTTTTGAAGACAGAAAAGCCTTAATGAAAGCTCTCTATAGTAATAGTATGTTAGACTGCTTAAATCTTTTTGGTAATTCAATTGATTTCAAAAACTGCAAAAATACAAAAAGAATAAGTGTATTAAAAAAAATTTTCCTACAAACATTACATTAGCATATTTGTTATGAGATTATTGGTTCATAAAGTACTACAAAGAATGGTATATACTTTCATTTTTTCTGATTTAAAGATTTTACTTGATAATTTAGACTATAAACATCATAATAAAAACTGATAATTTAAATTGATATTTTTGAATAATCATTTCTTATTTATGAACTATATAATCTTCAATCTTCTGAGTTGTTAAATATTTCTTAGTTTGTGTCGAAAAGATAAATATGTAGAACATAAATAAATGCTGCGGCTGATGCTGAAGTTTGCAAAAATATAAGCCCTGCTAAAATCTACAAATTGATTTTAATTATTTAAAATTTTATATTACAACTGATTCTTAATTTTAGAGCATAACAAATTGATAAGTTTCCGATTTTAGTCAATTAGTGATTTAGCTTTGAAACTAATTGATTTGGTCGTCAAAAGAATTTTCAGTTATTTAAATTTTAGCAATTTTATAAAGTTAGAAAACAGTAAACTGGTGGATATTCGGATTGGATTTGGTTAATTACATCAAGAAATATAATCCAATACATATTTAATGTAGAAAGCATTGAATTTATTGATTTTATATACTTTTTTTTACATTGAAATAGTATTATTAGCAATATAGTATTAAATATATATTAAAACAGTAATTATAAATCAAACCAGTGGTGCTAAACACCACTATATATAATACTGTATTACGATATGCATAAGTATTTGTTACACATTCATAACACCAACTAACTATATCGCATTTTGATCGTAACACCAACTGGCTATATCGCATTTTGATCGTAATACCAATGATTACATTAAATCATTATACATCATTCACATTTATAACGATATTTATATGTAAACAATGTATCATTTTTTTTCACGTGCGCAGCCTTTCTTTTGCCTTCACTTATTATTGCTATAATGGATTTTAATGCAAGTAACTTTGATAAAAATATTCCTTTTTTTTTAAGTATTAGTGATACCCATGCAAGCACTATAGATGTTGATAGCTTTGAAAATTTTGATTTGGGTGCTACTTTAAGCCAGCCGGAGGTGCGTATAAGCCGTCAAGAAACTTATTTAAATGAAATAATGCCTTTTGGCAAATTTCATATTTCAAGCTTTATAGAAAACGATGGGTATGAGAAAGAGTATGAGGAAGGGTATGAGGAGCAGTATGAGGAAGAGTATGAGGAACGGTATGAGGAAGGGCGTAAGGAACGATATGAGAAGCGGTTTGAGGAAGGGTATGAAGAACAGTATGAGGAAGGGTATAAGGAAGGGTATGAGGAATGGTATGAGGAAGGGTATGAGGAAGGCTATGGGATTAATCAAGGTGTAGATGAAGAAACTGCAGAGGATGAAAAAAGCGATAAGGACAAAATTACGGAACAAGAATTGGAAAACATAGAGCCACTTTATTCAATTGCAGTTAATATAGTTTTTGCTTGTTGGAAAGAGTTAGATCAGTAAGTAATTTAACTGTTGTTTTATAATTCCATACAAGTATCAATAATTTTTTTTTTTATTATAGGCTGCTTAAAAACCATGGGCTAGAAAATGGCTTCGCAGTTACTATTACTCATAGTGACAATGACAAAGATGATAGGTTACCTCGACGCCGAACTTACAAATGTATAAAAGGCCGAAAATACATATCATGTAAAAAAGCACATGTACTTGATGATCGTGATCGAGGGCACCATGCAGGTAACTGTGGATTCCGGGTCAATGCATATCATTGGAAAACAGATAATCAGGTTCATATTTCAAAGATTAAGAGCAAACATAACTATACACTTGTGAAAAATATTGGTATGATCGCCTCTTGTTATCGTAAGTTAACTTCAGAAATGCGTGATGATGTGAAGCTTCTAGCAAATTGTGGAGTACGTCCTAGCTCTATTATTAAGGTTTTACAACATAAGAATCTGGGAAAGCATATTCATCCCCATAACGTCTATAATTTAATTCAAACTATTCGACATCAAAAAGTAACAGCAAGTGATGCCGGTTCTATGTACCTTGAGCTTCTAAAAAAAAACAAGATAACCCAACATTCCATGTAGACGCTCGTTTTGAAGGTAAAGACAATCATCTGGTTGGATTATGTTGGATGAATCCGCATCAACAGGAATTGTGGGCCCAGTCCATGATGTTGTGTTAGTCGATATAACAGCAAAAACAAATCGATATTTGATGATATTATGTGTCGTAATCCTTATTGATAACCAAAATCATTCTCGGCTTGCTGCAACTGCCCTTGTATCAGATAAAATGGCTGACACTTTTGCATGGCTATTTGAAAGCCTTAGTAAAGCAGCTAATAACCTTGTTCCATGCCTACTCTACACAGATTCTGATTCTGCAATGATTGTGGCTGCAAAAAACTTTTGGCCTATAACTAAACATCATTTCTGTTTATTTCATATTTATAAAAACCTGAAAAAACATTTTCTTAGTAAGTATCATGGTGACAAATGGAATAAGTTGTTTGCAGCCTTTTGGCGTGTACGTAATAGCCGTGTTGAACAGATTTTTAAACAAAACTGGGGCATATTATTACAAGAATATAATGATGCTGCTGATTATTTGCAATGGCAACTTTATGAGTGTAGAGAGGTGTGGGCATTATGCTTTACACACTGTGCTTTCAATGCAGATGTGCAAAGCACACAACGTGTTGAATCCTACAATGCTATAATCAAAAATAAGGTTAATGGATCATCATCTCTTACAGAGCTTGAACACACTATTGAGAAGTTATTAATCAAAGAAAGCTGTTTTATAAAGTTGAATGAGGTTATTAATCAGCTCCCTGTTAGTCGTGAAGATAGCTACGCTAATAGATATTTTGAAAAAGTAGTTGAAATATGTAGTAAATTTTTGACACCAGCAATTCTTAAGCTTCAACGAAGTGAAATAAATCGTAGTATACATTACCGGTCCGTATGGCAAGTTTGGAAGATGAACTCAAAAAACAGGTATTACATCGTAGCTAAAATCTCTAATTAAATATAGGTACTATTGTTTATTTGGTTTTTTTTTTTTTTTATTTGTAGGGCACTAGTGAATTACCAGAAAATATGTTTTCAGAAAGTATGTATAATGCATATATCATTGAACTTGAACAACTTGTTGACGGTCTGGAACAGGAAAGAATTCGTGAGGTCTGGCATGTATCATCGGTTGATAAGAAGGCTAATCATTTAGTTGTATTGTATGATAATGCAGCCCACCTTTGTACATGCCTAACACTTATTAGCTATGGTATAGTATGTCGCCATTTTTTTGCGACTATGCTTCTTTCTGCTGTCGCCAAATTCCATATTGGTCTTCTACCACAGCGGTGGTATATTGACCATTCATTTATACCAAAAAGCGTACCTGTAATTACATTAGTTTTAGATGGAATATTTGGTTCAACAGAACTTAATTTACAGGATGACTTTTCACATTTGGAGTATATCCATAGATGTCATATTTTTACAGATGAAGTGCGTCATGAGTTATCACGTAAGCAGCAGTGGGGAAAGGGATTTGGTTTAATGAAAAAAAACTCTTGATTTAGCAATTGCAACGGGTAGAGCGGAAGAACTTTATGAGATGCATTTAAATCTTTCTAAGAAAATGGAAATCGAATTGCAACAAAAAGAAAACCAAGATAATGACAATATAGATTTTAATCGCATAATTAGTAACCCAGTTGGTATTAGGATGAAGGGTCAAAAAAAACATAAAAGAGAAAAGGGATTTAATGACACGTCAAATATAAAAGGTAAAGACAAGAGACAAAAGATACACAAATCTGATGAAGATAGTGATGGTAGTGAGTATTTGCCTACTACTAGTCTTAATGAGGTGTTAAAAATACATGAATCAGGTTCAAGGCAATGTGGAATTTGTCATCAAAGAGGTCATAATGCCCGAACCTGCCCTAACATAGATGTTAATATTTAGGGTTAGAGTAAATCTAATATAGCTTTTAAATCTGAAACAGAAGGGTTTAAGCAAAATAACTTTTTTAATTTGTTCTAATTGTGTTACTGTATCTTTGCCTAATGATAGCCGATTATTACACGATTATTTATATAGGATAAAATAAGTTGTATTTAGTGTGAGTTAGTAAATGCTTAAAATTTTACCATATTTCTATCCTTTGGTTACATTATTTATCACTTTAATATGCTAGTGTGCCTTTGTCAAACTTCAAGTTGGTTAATTTGATATACAGTATACTTGCAAGAGTACATATGTATGTATTTATCGAGTATTAGCTTACATAAGGTAACCAAACCCTTTTATTAACATGCACTATTACATTATTGATCTGTTAATCTATCATTATGTGTATCATCATTAAAATTTCGCATGACAGTGGAATAGCACGCAAAAAGTCTTTAAGTTTATTTAAGGGTCAGTACATGCGAAAGAATTAAACATTAGCAAAGTTTGTGGTAAAATTGCTCAAAAAAATTTTTTTGTTAAAGCGCAAAAGGTGGTTTATTATGCATATTTTTGAGAAATAAGCGATTTTTTGAAAAATGAATGTTTGTTAATTTTTCTGATCATGTAATGTTATTTAAAGCAGCATAGCGGGCTTTAAATCTGATTGGATGATCGACCGAAATGTTACACAATATGTTCTTCATAT